GCTTCCCCCTTCCCGGGGTGATGCGGGCACGCCCGGGCAGCGGAGCCGTACGAAGTGGTGGGTGTCAAACCAAAAATGAGCGAACCATTTATTACTGAAAAAACAGATCTGGAACATGGTAACAAGACCCTGGCAAGTCACACGGATACGAGTGGACCAAAGGCCCAAAGAGGCCCTGGAAGGGAGGCGGTGGGTGAGATGGTCCCGGAGGAACGGCCCAGCACCAGCCGATCAACAAGAAGGGAGGGACTCCGCAGTGCCAATCGACACGAGGAAGGAAAATCCAGATCCAGATCTAGGTCGAGATCACCAGAGAGGATGGTGACAGTATCCTCATCTGAATCCGTCTTCTCGAAGGAGAGGCGAAAAGGGAAGAAACCCAAAGAAGGGGAAATAGGACATCCCCAAAAATTCCGATGGGGAGATCGACCTGGAAAGGTTCGAGGAGAAGGCCACTAGACAGCGTGGAAGACCAGAAACAACTGGTGACTATAGGAAAAAGAAGATCTTCCTAGAGATGAAAAAGGCCCTCCTCGAGGAAATGAGAGAGAGAAGGCTACTTAGGGGATTAACAATGGACCCTAAGGCAGAATTTAAGGACTGTTCTGAGAACCGCAAATACAAGGTGGAGGTAAAAAGGATCTCGGAACACCTGGATGACGCCCCGTTTAGGGACATTGCGGCCTCAATATTAGAGGCATCGATGAAAATACTAGGATTTTCGGTTCGCTCGAAGAATCTAAAAGGTACATACGAGAAAGTACTGAGGGATGCCTCGGTTGCCATTGCAGCCGGCACAACAATCATGGCTGACAGGATGGCCATAGGGGAAGGAGGAAACCAAGATATCCTAGAGGAGTTGCGGGAAGAAAATGCACGACTCCGTACCTCACAGGAAGATACAAATAGGAAGATGGAAGAATTAAAAGCTGCTCTGCGGAGTATAAAGGAGGCATCACCGTCAACGGCAATGGCATCCTCGCCTCCGGAGCAGAGAAAGGAAGCACGTCAGAGTGTAAGGAGGGCACCGCCTTTGGAGGTGGTGTCCCTCCCGCCTCTGTTGTGTGAAGGACAAGCACAGCGCAGTATAAAGGAGGCATCGCCTCCGGCGACGGTAACCTCCTCGCCTGCGCTGCTGGTAAAGGAAGAGGAAAAGAGAAGGAGGAAAACGGGAAAGGTGATCTTACCTCCGGCGGCCGACACCGACGAGGAGGAACCCATGGTCGTGGAAAGAAGTCCAGCTCGGACTGATCAGGACGGAAAAGGCACACCCCATCAAAGAAAAGAAGAGAAGAGAGGGAACTGGTCAGAGAATAAAAGAAGACATCCTGTTAGCGACTGAGGTCAGATTGGAAAAAAGTGACCTGCCAGGGCATATGAAAGAGGAATCCATGGAAAGGAAAGAGTCCGTGGAAGAGAGGGTGACTTCCATTGTGTTCAAAGCGATAGAACAATGGGCTTCGTCTAAGAATACGGGAGGCCAAGGAGAAAGGGAAGCAACAAAAAAGAGCAAACCACTTGCTCAGAAGGACAAAAACAAAGGGAAAAAGAAGAAAGGGGGAAAGGCAAAGGCAGGTAACCAACCTGTGGCAGAGAAACAGGAGCCACAGAGCCAGCCTCGTGCCTCACTCCCCACGAAGGAGGATAACTCACCTCAACCAGACAGACCGCAGGTCAGACTTGAACCTCAGGAGACCTGGTCGAGGGTGGTTGGACGAAAAGAGAGGAGAAGAGAAAAGGAAGAGGAAAGGAAAAAACAACCCCCGAAAAGTCCCGTCAGGGCAAAAGGCAACGAAAAGGACGTGGAAAAGAGGACGAGAAGAAGAATCTCCAATACTGCGGCGATCTCCATCATCGCAGAAGAAGGAAGGTATAGAGAATTATTAGCGGAGGCCAAGAGGAGAATCAATATTAATAACCAGGGGATCTCCAAGATTAAAACAAGACAGGGTGCAACAGGAGCTCTGATCCTGGAGATCCCTGGGGAAGACAGAAGGGTGCAAGCGGACCTTTTGGCCGAAAAGCTAAGGGAAGTTTTAGCAGATAGGGCTAAAATAAATCGCCCCCAGGAAATGGGGGAAATTAGAATCGGAGGATTAGAAATTTCCATCACGGAAAGAGAGGTGGCGGAATGCGTGGCTGAACACGGAGGCTGCGAACTAAATGAGGTACAGACAGGGAAAATAAGAGCTGCGCCTATTGGATCAAGATTCATACGGTTAAGGTGTCCCCTAACAGCAGCGAAGAAAATCGCTGAGAAGGGGACACTGGCCGTAGGTTGGACACAGGCTAGGGCAGAATTGCTGGACGTTAGACCCCTACAATGCTACAGATGTCTTGAAAGGGGTCACGTCTAGCAAAACTGCAAGAGTGGAATCGATAGAAGCCGCAATTGCTATAGATGCGATGAAACTGGACATCGGGCCAGTGAATGCTTCGCAAGGGCTAAATGCCAAATTTGTATGGAGGCCGGACAGCCGGCTGGGCATAGGATGGGTGGGCCAGCTTACCATCCATCCAAAAGGAAGAAGATGGGGAGAGGGAGGGAGAATGGGGAGGCACTCGCACCGATGCCACCAGCGTCTTCCGCTTCCTCTCCCCTGGAGAAAAGGGAAAAAGAAGGAAGGGCAGAGGTATCCTCACCCCCTCCCCCTCTGGGAACGGAAACTCCCGCTTCTGACACCCTGAAGGAGGGGAATGAAGAGATGGAGATTGAGAGGAGGGGGGAGAAGCGTCCCCGGGCAAGAGAAGAGAATGGGAGTGAGGGAGAGCAGTAACCGGCGGATAAATTAGTGATTCAATCCGAATAATGAACACCCGGCTACTCCAATACAACCTGCACCGCACTCGACAAGCTCTGTCGCTTTTTGAACATACTATAACCGAGCGCGGTGCGGGTTTAGGAATCATTGCGGAGCCATATCGAATTCCTGAAAACCACAATAGGTGGTTCGGGGATGAGATAGGCTCCGTGGCCATCACATGGAAGACAGGTGGAAACTCGCCTCCTGCTGCCAAAGTAGGCAGCGGGAGAAATTTTGTTGTGGCCAGGTGGGGGGCCATTACCGTGGTCAGGGTATACCCCCCCTTAAGTAAGAGCCTAGATTTGATAAGCTTCAAGTCCAGGCTCCGGGATATAGGGAGGGCCGTGACACGGTACCTCCCTGGGCCTGTCATCGTCGCCGGGGACTTCAATGCGAAATCGGAGATATGGGGTTCCCGGCAGGGTGACAGGCGGGGAGAGGAATTGGAAGATTGGGCCGCAGGACTAGGTCTGCACCTGCTAAACGAGGGAAGGAAGTCTACTTTCGTGGGGTCGCAGGGGGAGTCAATAATTGACCTTACCTGGGCAACCCCTGCGGTCCTAAGGCGAGTGCGGACATGGCGGGTAGCGGAAGAATTGGAAACTCTATCCGATCACCTCATTATTGAGATGGAGCTGTCCGTCACCCCTAATGGCCTGCGGCACAGATAAAGAAAAGTGCCCCGACCAGGGCGTTGGGCCCTGAATCAAATAGACAGGGAGGCGTTGGAAACCTCCCTGGAAGTAACCACCTGGCCACAACAGGCGGAGGGACAGGACCTGAACTCTGCGGTACAGGAAATCATAGGTATAATCGCAGAGGCGTGCGAGAAATCCATGCCCAAAGTCCGGCCCTGCCCAAGAAGGTCCGCTTGGTGGACCGACGACATCGCAGACCTCAGGCGAAAGTCGATTCACCTCAGGCTGACCTTTAGAAGGATTAGAAATAATCCGGATTCGAACCCCGAGGCCGTTCTGGCCGCCCGCAGAGATTTCTGCAGAGCGGCGACGGTGCTGAGAGACACCATTGGGATGGCCAGAGGTAAAGGGTTGGACACCCTCCTCCTATCACTAGATGCGGACCCATGGGTGCGCCCTTATAAAATGGTAATGCAAAACCTGAAATCATGGGCGCGCCCGTTGACGGAAACGCTTGACCCCTGGTTTCTCGGGCGGGTCATGGGGACCCTTTTCCCGGTTAGGGAGGGAAACCCCATTGACCCGTACAGAGCCCCCACTTTTGAACAACAGAGGGGGGTACCGGGGGTCACAGAGGAGGAGGTGGCCGGGGCCATCAAGAAGGTCAAGAGCCGTAAAGCGCTCGGACCTGATGGTATCCCCGGCCGAGTTCTCACCCTGGCCTCGGGGTTCATCACGGGAAGCCTTGCGAAGATCTTTTCGCAAGCCTTCAGGGAAGGCAAGTTCCCCCCAGTCTGGGGGAGGGCCAATGTGGTCCTCCTCCGAAAAGAGGGCAAACCGGAGGACTCCCCCTCTGCATACAGGCCCATATGCCTCCTTGACGAGACGGGCAAAGTGTTTGAGCGAGTGATCGCGGCCCGTCTCGTGGAGCATATGTCCCGGGAAGGACCAGATCTCGATAACGGCCAATACGGCTTCCGAGAGGGAAGATCAACGGTGGACGCCATTGAACACCTAAGATCCCTCTCGGAGGCCATAGTGCAGGAGGGCAGGGTGGCCGTGGCGGTGTCGTTAAATATCGCCAACGCTGCCCTGGGGTAGGGTGGTGGAGGCCATGAGGGAATATTTTGGCTTCCCACCCTACCTCACGGTCGTTATCGAGGATTACTTCCGGGGTCGGCGTCTAAGCTGGATGGATGCCGATGGCAACGTATGCGAGAGGGGAATGAGAGGGGAATGAGTTGCGGGGTTCCACAGGGGTCGATCTTAGGCCCCTTACTGTGGAACCTCGGATACAACTCAGTCCTCCGAACCGCCCTCCCCCCCGGCTGCAATATAATTTGCTATGCAGATGACACACTCATCTTGGCCGGGGGGAAAGACTGGGGGGAGGCCGTGAGAACGGCCAACTTTGCGTGCGTTGTACGCTCTATCCGTGGTCTGGGTCTGGAGGTGGCAGAAAGGAAGACGGAAGCTATCTTCCTGTATAAAAAGAGGATGAAGCCCACCCCAGGCCCAGATCCGTGTGAGAAGAGTCAGGGTCCCGATAGAGGCCCAGATGAGGTATCTGAGCCTCATCTTGGACGGCACCTGGTGCTTCAAGGAACATGTGAACCGTCTGGTCCCCCGGCTGAGAGTAATCTCAGCCAACTTGAGCAGATTAATGCCCCATGTCGGGGGACCGGACTGGAAGGCCCGTCGCCTCCACGCTGGGGTATTAAACTCGGTGTCTCTATACGGAGCACCGATTTGGGCAGAGGCTCTGGCCGCCAGCCACCCGTTACAAGCGCTTCTGCGTAGAGTGCACAGGTCACTGGCGGTCAGGGTCGCCCGGTGTTACCGTACGGTATCCCACGTGGCGGTGACGGCCCTGGCGGGCATGCCCCCAGGGCATGCCTCGAGCTCCTGGTCCTAATGTACAGGAACATGTACTATAGGGAGCGGGAGCTCATAAGGGAAGGGGGGAAGATGTAGCACTCACCGGGGCGCTACGAAGGATAAAGCACCAGGCTTGACAGCTCCTCCTCCAGATATGGCAGGAGTTTCTGGCTAACGCCAGATATGGGAAGAGGACTGTCGAGGCCGTCCAGCCTCATGCCGTGTGCCCGGCCTACAAGAATGGGGACTCTGACTTTCAGAATGGCATAGATACTCACTGGACATGGGTGTTTTGAGTACCTGTGCAGAATTGGAAAAGAGCGTACAACACATTGCTACCACTGTGAGAACGATCACGACTCCGCACAACATACCCTGCAAGACTGCCCGGCCTGGGCGGCAGAGCGCGGAGCCGTGGTCAGGGAAGTGAGACACGACCTCTCGTTCCCTACAGTTCTGTGGAACATAGTGGGGAACGAGAGGAAATGGAATGCATTAGCCTTCTTCTGTGAGGCGGTTGTCTCATAGAAGGAGGATGCGAAGGAAACCCGCCGACAGGCGGAGGGACGCGGAATGCAGCAGAGGAGGAGGGAGCGTCATAAACGCTGGAGGGCGCGGAGGAGTAGGAGCAGGGAGGGAGATATTGACTCCTCCGAGGAAGAGAATTTAAGGAGGATAGTGAACCCACCATCCCCATCACCTCAACCTGCTCCTCCCCCTCCAAGGGTGCTAACACCACCAAGGGGAAGAGTTCCAGGGGCGCCCCGAGTAGCCTATCAAAGGCAACATGGGGCGCCGGAGCAAGGAGGCCATCCAGGAGAGGAGCGGGGGCGCCTACAAAGGGCCCAACACCACCACCAACTGCCCCACTCATGGCAGCAGGAGGCACGCGGAGGGGAGGGAGAGCTATGTGTCCGCCTTCCCGCCAGCTTCCACCTACCCCTCGTGATGGGGTAGGATGACAATAAGGGGGGAGAGAGTGGGATGGTGGTGTTGATACCACCATCAAAGCACCTCTCTTCCCCCCTTAGGCCCATCACATACATGGACGCGCAGGGAGGGATCACTAAACACCTCCCTATCTCTCCCTTATAGGAAAAATGGGAGTGTCCGGCGGCTAGGGGACTATGTTGTTCCTCGTAACCGCCGGGCAAGAGGGTGGGGCACTGGGCCGGAACTCCCAGTATCCCAACCAGCCCTCCACACGCAGGGTGATTAGTCGAGGTGGTGGCCCGGCTAGTCACACAATAACACTTTGGCGGCGTCCTGCCTGGCTGGGAACGGTGGTTGAGCGAGCCGTTGGCTGGCTCCCCCTTCCCGGCCTCAGAGGCAGGGGTGAGGAGTGAAGGGGAGCGGCGGTTGAGGAGAAGCCCTGGCTTTGCCTCCCCCTCCCTCCACCCCTCGAGGGAACGACAATGAACGTCATCTGGATTCGGGGCCCCGATTGCAGTTACGTAGGCACCGGGGCCTCGACCCAAATCCCTTCGCAGAGCCATCCGAGGAGGTTTTAGCCAGTAGGAGTCCGGCATAACCCCGACCCTTCCCCGAAGGTCGGGGTATCCATGATGGATTTTCTCCTCGTCAAAAAAAAAGAAAGGTAGCGTTCAGTATGTACGGTTTCGCCAGGTTTTAGCAGCTCTTAATAGATCACATCCTTCTGATCCCACCAAACACAGAGCATTGTCTTCCGATGGCGGAGAGGAAAGCGGAGGCCATTTTCCTCCATGGTAAGAGAGCCAAGCCACCACAAGCCCAGATCAGAGTAGGAACGCTCAGGGTTCCGATAGAGGCCCAGATGAAATATCTGGGCCTCATCCTGGACAGCACTTGGTGCTTCAAGGAACATATAGGTCGCCTGGTCCCCCGACTCAAGTCAATCTCGGCGAGATTGGGCAGACTTATGCCCAACATCGGGGGACCGGGGCAGAAGGCCCGTCGCCTCCATGTGGGAGTGTTAAACTCGGTCGCGCTTTATGGAGCGCCAGTATGGGCCGAGGCCCTGGCCGTCAACCGACAAATGCGCGCACAGTTGCGCAAAGCGCATAGAGTGGCGGTCAGGGTCATCAGAGGGTATAAAACTATATCCCACGTGGCGGCGACAGCTCTGGCGAGCATGCCCCCTGGAGCTCCAGGCATTAATGTATAAGAGAATGTTTGGGAAGAGGGAGCTCCAAGGGAGGGTAAGGGAAGACGAGGCGCTCGCCAGAGCTATAAGGGATATGAAGCACCAAACTCGGCAGGTCCTCCTCCATAGATGGCAAAGGATGCTGACGCACGCCAGGTACGGGAGGAGGGTCGTCGAGGTTCTCCAGCCCTACCTACACAAGTGGGTGGGCAAGGATTTCGGGACTCTGACGTTCAGGCTGACACAGGTGTTCACCGGGTACAGATGCTTCGGTGAGTACCTGTGTCGAATAGGGAAAGAGCCCACGGCGAGATGTCACCACTGTGACTACGACCACGACTCCGCGCAACACACAGTCCAAGACTGCCTGGCATGGGCAGTGGAGCGCGGAGTCATGGTCGGGGAACTGGGCCAGGACCTCTCACTCCCAATGGTGGTGAGGGCCATGTTGGAGGGTGAGAGGAAATGGCGATTACTCGCCTCCTTTTGTGAGACAGTAATGCTCCAAAAGGAGGCAGCGGAGGAAATCCGCCGGCAGGCGGAAGGAAGAGGGAAGAGCCAGAGGAGAAGGCAACGCCACAGGGAGTGGCGAGGAAGTAGGAGCAGAAGCAGGGATGGGATGGACTCGTCAGAGGAGGAGGCTATGCTGAGGGCTATGCTGAGGCAGCAACCTTAGCCGCCTCCCCCTCCCCAACCTGCTCCTCTCCCTGCATGAGACAGGGGAAGGGCCCCCAAGAAGCGCGATGCCCCTCACAGGGCGAACGTTGTGGGGGCAAAGAGGTGACGACTCGTGGGAGGGGGGGCGGTGGTGATCGGAGGGTCTCCCCGTCCACTGGCGTGTTATCGGTGGCTGGAGGGGCGAGGAGGGGAGCGGGGCATCCGTCCCTAACCCCCAGTCCTCCGACCCCGGCTCCCAGTTTGGGGGCCGGATAACAGTAAGGGGGGAAGAGAGTGTCGGTGGCGTCGTCACCGGTTAAACACCTCTTCCCCTCTCAGCAGGGCCCTCCACAATGGTGGGCCTGCAGGAAGAGTTCTATAAGACCTCTCCCATTTCTCCTTTGGAGGTGGGAGTGCCCGGCGGCTAGGGGATCATTTCCCCCTGTAACCGTCGGGCAGGAGAGTGAGGCATCGAGCGGGGATTCCCGAAGTCCCAGCTATCCCTCCACACGTAGGGCGGCCGGCTGAGGAGGTGGATCAGCCGGTCGCACAACATGCATTGGCGGTGCCTCGTCTGGTCAGGAACGGTGGTTGAAGCGAACTTCGGCTGGCTTCCCCCTTCTTGACTGAAGAGACGAGGCGTGAGGGGTGGGAGAGGGGAGCGGTGGTCGAAGTGAGCCCTCGGGCTGGCTTCCCCCCTCCCCTACTCCACCCCTCAGGGACAGAAGGTGTTACATCTGGACTCAGGGCCTCGATAAGCAGTTACGCGGCTCCGGGGCCCCGATGCCAGTCCCTTCGCAGCGCCACCCGAGGAGGTTTTAGTCGGTAAGAGTCCGGCATAACCGTGGCCCTTCCCCGAGGGTCAGGGTATCCATGATGGATTTCCTCCTCGTAAAAAAAAAAAAAAGAGCATTGTCTTCCGTCCATAGCGATTTGGCCTTACAGTCGATGTCGATGGTTCGCCTGGAGTTACCCATGATCTTTTACGCTTAGGATTCTTAAAATATATCCACTTTCCATCGCCAGTCACAAATCGATGGAGAAATGACTTTCTTTTGTACCTGGCGAGCAGCATTTCGCAAATGGTTTTTCGGTTTTCCTGCTGTCTTTCATTCAGTTCATGTGGAACCCATTTTCCCATCTTCTGGATCTTTCCTATGGCTTTCAAATGTATGAAGACGGCTTCTCGTGTCACATTTAATTGATCCGCGAGTTGTTGTTGCGTTTAAGCGCCATCCTCAACAACGCTTGCAATTCGCTGTCTTCAAACTTTTTCGGTGGTCTTCCACATTCTTCGTTTCTCACGTCAAAATCGCCATGTTTGAATTTTTTAAACCACTCAAAGCACTGTGATTTATCAAGAACATGCTCGCCGTAAGCTTCGACAAGCATTCGATACGATTCTGCAGCAGTTTTCTTCAAATGGTAACAGAAAATCAATACTGTCCGCAAATCGTAGCTTCCAGGCACAAAATTCGACACGTTCAACGCTATTACAAACTATGCTGTTGTATGAAACTTGTATTGCTGTGAGTTGAAAATCTTTGTCAGATGTCAACAAATAGAAATGGCGCCAATGACGCGGTTTGACGGTAACTATATTGACAGCTATGGGTAAATTCCGGTTTCATATTTACAGACCTGATATATACGTACATACAGGGTTCTCAAAAAGTCTTCGAACGATAAAATATCTCGAAAACAATCAGTTTTTGGAAAAAATGTTTCAGGCAAAAGTTGTAAGATTTAAAATGATCTATTTACTGATTTTATCAATTTGACATTGGCTAGCGTCAACAAGATCAGAGCAAAATCATCTTGAACTTTTTAAATGGAATGCCCTACTTTTCTGGCATATTCTTATAACGTATTTCAAGAGCTTTCCAAAACACTACAACAAAGTATTTTCTTGTTAAGTACATCCTGAGTTATGAAGCTTCAAAGTTACAGTACCGTCGGCATTAGCATTACCCAAGGTGTACCGCGTGGAGGTTGCACGATCGGATTTACACCTCTTGTGTGTGCGTGTGTGCGCGTGTGTGTGTGTGTGTGTGTGCGTGTGCGTATGTGTACGTGTGTATGTGCGTGTGTGTGTGTGTACGTCTGCGTATTATATAACAGAAACAAGGACCCCACGGTTCGTCACTCCCGTAGATATTTTATCGTTCGAAGACTTTTTGAGAACCCTGTATATGTTTGAATAATATTAATAAAAAATATATTCGTCTTATTAAGAAATAATATGTTATCCCTGAAATATTTTATTTATGCATTTATACTCCAATGCAATGTATAACGTTTAAAGGAGCAAGTAATCGATTAAATGACGTCTCAATGATGTTTCTAACGTTTATAAGACGTAATAAAGACGTCATTTAATATCATCTTGCTATTTGGGATGAGATACATAGCAATACAATATTACTATAATAATTTAATGTTATATATGGAGCATTCTCTATCAAATCTGACACTCCTTTTGTCTAAAAATTGAAGCAACAAAAGAAACTGTACCAGGGCTCATTTTGAAGCTATGGATGTATACTTTCATTCAAACCGTGGCCTTTTCAGAAAACCAATATGACGGTTTTAATGTGGCGGCTTGAAGTCGCAAAATTAATAGGAAATTTATTATTACCTCATTATATCTTTCATATCGAGTAAAATTCATGAAGTAAAATGGTTTCTGAGAATTTTCGAGGATGCTCTTTCCAAATCAATGATTGGATTTTTCATTTAACCTCTTATAAGGGTTAAAAATAAGGATTGGGTGCTAATTTTCCAAGTTTTCGTGCGCTCAATGCCATTCATTGGTGAGAAAAAAATATCTCAGAGCGATCTGAGTATATTCTTACATAAACCGATCATGCATCAGCATTTCATCCCCTTGAAGGGTTAGAAATAAGGATTGAGGTGAATTTTCAAGGATTTCGTACACGTAATGCCATTTGTTGGTAGTGTTACGTCCTAGAAGAGGAGCGCAACCTTTTCGTTCGCGAGTAAGGCGAGCCTCGTTCGTAACCGCGTGTCAGTGAACGGGTCAGGGACCAGACGGGTCCCTTTACTCGGGCACCGACGTACGACGAGCGGTCCGTTTTTCGGTCAGGGACGCGAATCCCTTTACCGGGGATAGGACCATGAGTTGACTGTTGGAAGGGTGGGGTGATTTTGAAATTAATTGATGGAAATAAATTAATATCAAATTTATTAAAATAAGAGTCACAACAGAAAGTTATGCGGCGCGATTTATTACAATTTACTTGAATGATGTTGTGTGTATGTGTGTGTGTGTATGTGGGATAGAAGAAGAAGGAAAGGAAAAGGGGAAGAATATGAATAGAAAGTTAGTCGGGTGAGAGGGAACGAGAGCGGTCAGGAGAATTTAAGGGGGTGGATAATTCGGAAAAAGAGACGGGAGAATACGATATTGAAGGGGTAGAAGGAATAGAAGCGCGTGTAGGAGAAGAAGGAAGACTAAAGGGTAAGCGTCGGAGTAGGAAAGGGGGTAGGAGTGTCGGGTCTGGGTAATAATCAATTTCAAATGAGATATTTATAATAGATCGGAGATATTGTAGTTGGTGTTCAAATTCATAAGAATCTCTAATCCCGTACACTGTCTCGAAAAAATCAAGGACTCGTTGAATGGATACCACGGAATGATAATAATGGCCCACTAAAAATATATTTCAATAAACGGGTGGAATCAATAAATAAGGGTATATAAAAAAACAGAACTTACTGCTGACTCCTGTTATCCGGGAGGTAAGCAAAAAATAAAATTGTCGTTTGGTAGCTCCTGCTCGGTAGGTTAGGTTGTGCTCGTCCATTCCCTTCCGGTTGTTCAATTATAACACAAACACTAATACCTTTTGCTGATTTCTTTGAATGTTTGCACAAACTCGGATATATGAATCGTAGAAATATTATCTGAATATCTGACTTGAAATCTAAATTCTGAATGCTCAAAACAGAATATCCGAGTGAGAGTGTGACTGCCTTTTTCAGAGTAGAAGTAGTGTCGCGGAGGCGGATTACCGCGGTTTTTATAGTGATAATCGGAGGCAGAAGCTATCAGGGTGGATAGAGAGATGGCCTTTGAGGAAGGGGTGAATTGGTCTTAGTGGGAAAAAGTCTCAGCCATTAGCGAAGTTAAAAGACATCGTGGGAGGAGACAGTTAGTTTTTGGAGATATGAATATGGAAGGGCTAAAGGGTGGAGCGTGGATGTCTCATATTTTAGGTGGATATGATATGATTGGCTGAATGAATTAGGCGTGACAAGCGTGGAGGTGGTGGATTCTTGAGATAGAGAAATGTATACAAGTGGCCGGCTGGAAAAATCAAAATGCCGTAAATCAAAGGCTGAGATCAGATTTTACGACTATCAATGAAGTAGGCTTTGTTGGTTGACTGATAGGGCACATATGGTTTTGGATTGGGAAGATGTAAGTTTCAAGTTTTAGAGCAGGAATGCTCTGAGTTACTTTGTTTCACTGAAAGTTTGTTAGCGCGGAGTTTCAAATTTTTATAGCTGGGACGACGGACACACTTGGCGAACACTATCCAGATATAAACTTTAGATTTTTACAACAGGGCACTGTTTCCTGTTATGGAATTTTCCCGAATCGCCTTTCATTTGGCGCGACGGCTGTTCGCCAGATGGGTCTGTTCCCTAATTTATATTTATATATGTATATATTCCTATTATAGTTATATTAGGAGAATATAAATCCACGAGAGGAAAAGACAATTTTGTTAGTTAAATCTGCAGGACGTAACAGTAGGGAGAAAATATTTCAAAGCTATTAAAATGTATTCTTCGAGAAACCGATGTTCCTTCAGCAAGTTGCTTTCTAAGAGGGTTAAAAATAAGAGTTAAAAATAAGAGTTGGCGAGGATTTGTACAGATTTTTGTGCTCTTAATGTGATCTTCCTCGACGTGGTGCCACCTTGGCGTGGTGAGGAGGCACAGGCGATCCGTAGATCCATCGGGGTAGTACTTCCTGTCCAACCGGAGGGAGGGCTGGATGGGAAGGATCGCTTGCTAAGAGCACCTCGGGTTCAGGGAAAGGTGGGTTTCCGGTGGAGGGGATCGGGGTGGATAGGGGGGTGGGCATCAGGGGTCAGGTTGTTTTGGCATCCGGGTATGGGGGATCCAGGTGACCCCGGCGTACCTGAGCCTATTACACCATAAGCCCTAGGTTATGTCTCTGGGGCCCGGGGCTCTTGCCTTAACCAGCAACCGGGCCTCTATAAAATACCATGTGATCTTACGGTGGGAGTCCACCGCTTGTGGGCTTGTGGGGTGAATGGCAAGTGCGTGACTTGTCGCGAGAGGACTCTAACCCGTCGGCACCTGGCGAACCCATGGGGACATATTAGCCGAATCCCGGGTAATACGGAGACTCTGCCCGGGATCGTCGCCCACTTCCCGCCGTACTCGCGGGACCAACCATGAAGAAATTTAAAACCACACAGTCATTAAGTGAGGGTGTCTACAGATACCCTTTTTTTTTCTTTGATAACGCAGGAGAAACCCATCATGGGTACCCCCCGCCCCCTGGGAGGGGCAGAGGGTTATGTGAGACTCTTACTCACTAAAACCCCTGCGGGATGTCTACCAGTCGGACCGAGATGGGGGGAGTCAGGGGAACTGCGCCAAAATTCCCCGACACCCCGGCCCCAGGGCTCGTTGTCGAGCCCCACGCCCAAGTGCCGCGCCCCTTTCTTCCAGAAGAAAGAGGTACAGGGCGCGGCGCCCCAGTCAGTTAAGCCGACCGGGTTGGCCTTCCGGTAACTATTACGGGAGGGGAGGCACCCCCCCACTCCCCGCCCTCCCCGTTAGAGTTTCCACTCCAAGGGGGCGGGGGAGCGCTCGTGGGGATCTCATCCCTCTCCCGGCCTCCCTCCCCCGCGCGTCCGAATTCGGCCCCGAGGCGGCCGAGGGGGCGGCGGTCTCCGGATAACCGGTCGTCGCCGCCTCACCTCGGCCGGCGCCACCTCGGGGCCGCTGTCACCTCCCGGGGAGCGCCGCCTTCCATCCCGCCACCTCCCGCGGTTGGGGTCTGGCCTGCGCTCCCACTCGGCGGCCTCCTTCTGGGACATAACATCCCTACAGAAGGAGGCCGCCGCCCCCATACTTCCTCGCTCCCGCACATGGCCCGAACCATGCGCAGGAGCAAGATGTCCTCCGCGTTACACCCCATCGCCCGGGCCAGGACTCAGCGCTCCTGACTCCACGCCTCACATTCCACGAGGGTGTGCCGCGCCGAGTCCTCCGGCTCGGAGCAATGATGGCACTCGGTGGTGTTCTCCTTCCCGATTTGGTGCAGGTACCTCCCGAAGCATCCATGCCCGGTCAGCACCTGCACCATGTGGAAGGAGAGTCCGCGTCTCCTCCTGTCTACCATTTCCGGTAGACAGGGGCGGACAGCCTCGGCCGTTTGGCGACCGAATCCTCGCGGGTCGACCAGCTCGGCCGACCACTTGTCGAGGATCCGGTCACCGGCCTGGGTCTTAAGAGCCCTCAAGTCCCTGGCCGATGGCCCTTCCCCCCTTTCGCGGAGCTTCTTTATATGCCAGTATAGGAGATACCTCTCCTCGGCTAGGAGCTCCACTGGGGGGAGCCGGCCACGGAGGCCGCCACTATGTGGGAGACATACGTCGCGTACGCCCGGATGGCCCTCAGCACCGGCCGCGTGGCCTGACGGAGCAGGTTCTGGTTGCGGACGGTGGCCAGGAGTCGGGGCGCCCATATAGGCGCCCCGTATAGGGCGACCGAGAGTACGAACCCCACATAAAGTCGGCGTGCCCGCCATCCAGGCCCCCCTTGGGTCCGCATGAGGCCGGCCAGTGCCGTGCCCACTTTGCGGACCCGCGAAGCTAGGCGCCTGAAATGGGGCCCACAATCCCACCGGCTGTCCAGCGTCAAGCCCAGGTATTTCATCGTGGACTCGACGTGGACGCGGACACCAGGACCCGGGCTCTTCGCGGACTCCCCTGACCCCGGCCATGAAAGAGCATAGCCTGGGTCTTCTGGGGGGCCACTTTGAGCCCGAGGTCACTGATGGTCCCCACCACCGAGTGCAGAGCGGCTTCCACCCGGAGATGAGCCACACCCCAATCCTCCCCCTCGGCTAGCACCAGCGTGTCATCTGCATAACAGACCACGTGGCAGCCGGGGGGGGGAGGGGAGTTCGCAGCACCCGTCGAACGCGATGTTCCACAAGAGGGGGCCCAACACGGACCCCTGCGAAACACCGCGAAACTCCATTTGCCGCCGGCCTTCGACCCCCTTCCCGTGTAGGCGAGGTCTCTGTCTCTGAAATAGGCCGCTAGGATGCGCCGGAGATAGGCGAGAACACCGTGGTATTCCAGCGCCCGTCCTATCTCCGGCCAGGGCAGGGTGTTGAAGGCGTTGGTGATATCGAGCGATACCGCCAGCAACACTCAGCCCCCCTCCTCCACGACGGTACAGGTCAGGACCCAGACATGCTGGAGAGCGTCCAGCGTCGACCGTCCGGGCCTGAACCCGTACTGGTTGTCGTGGAGGTCCGGCCCTTCCAGGGACAGGTGTCGGACGAGGCGGTCCGCAATAATGCGTTCCAGCATTTTGCCCGCCTCGTCCAGCAGGCAAATCGGCCTGTAGGCCGGCGGCCCACCAGGTACTTTACTCTCCTTGGGGAGGAGGACCAACTTGGCCCTCCTCCTTTCTTGGGGGAAGACTCCCTCTTTGAGGCACCTTTCTAATGCCTCCCGCATGGCGGCGGATAGGTTTCCGTTGCCAAAGGCGAGAACCCAGGCGCGGCCAGGAATCCCGTTGGGGCCGGGGGCTTCGCCCTTGGCCTCGAGCCTCTTCCTGGCCCTGGTGAACTCCTCCGGCGAGACCCCCAGGTCCTCGTTCCAGTCCCCGTCCTGAAGATCAGGAACGGGGATCCTGGGGGGGGGCCTCCGCCCTCGGAAAGAGGGTGTCGAGGAGCCACATGAGGTCCCGGGGATTTATGGATTCCGTTGGTGGGGGCGCCCACGGACGTATCTTGCCGACCGTCCGCTTGTACGGGCACCCCCACCGGTCCTCGTCCAGAGAGTCCACCAGATGCTCCCAGGCTCTCTCCTTGGCCTCGACAATGGCGGCCTTGAGGGCTTTCCTCGCACGGATATAGTCCTCGCGTGCCCCCGCGGCGTCCCCGCCGCTGCGCCGAGCCCGGGTAAACTCCCGTCTGGCCTGGACGCAGGAGTCGTGGAGTTCCGCGAGCTCCCGCGTCCACCAGTACGCAGCCCGACGCCGGCGGGGATGGGACCGGGGCATCGCAGCGTCGCAAGCCGACGCCACGATGCCCACTGCGTCCTTGGCCCCCTCCAGGGGGGCAGGGGTCCCGTATACCTGGCTCCTGGTTTATATGCTAGATTGTCGCGAGGATGGCCGCCTGAAATCTATCCGCGTCAAGTTGACCGAGGGCCCATCTCTTGGGGAGGGGAAGGTCCCCCTCCCCTGGGCGGCGGTCCAGCCTCCGGTAGGGGGTGAGGAGTCGGAGGGTCCAGGCTACATATCTGTGATCAGACAGTGACTCCCTCTCCTTCTCCACCACCCATCCCCGGAATAACCGCGCGGCAAGGGGGAGGCCCACGTCAGGTCAATGACCGACTCGCCTCCTCCATCTGGCCGCACGTATGTGCTGATGGACCCCGTGTTAATCAACACGAGGTCCAGCCTCGCCGCCCAATCAGCCACAGCCTCGCCCCGAGAGTCCCTTTGCCAGGTACCGCAACCCTATTCCTCCGAGTGGGCGTTGAAGTCCCCGGCGACAATTGTGGGTCGGGGGTGGCGCTGCCGTACCACCTCCCCGACCCTGTCCAGGACCCTCGTTATGCGGGTGGATTCACCTAGGCCTTCTTTATTGTAGCGACGGTGCAAGTACACCCCACTACCGTGATGGGTCCAGAGTCAACAGTCACAAACGAGCACCCCTTCCTCCTGATTTTACAGGGGGGTGCGCACGCTGCGGGTCTGTCCACCACGGCCACAAAGCCGCACTCGCTGTCCAGCCAGTTATGATTACCGACTGGAACTTGGTGCGGCTCTGTGGCTAATCCTAGGCCGGTGCCCATCTCCGCAAGTCTATGCATCCACAGATCTTGGGCACGGGCGCCGTTGCCTAGGTTGGCCTGAAAGACCCGGAGGAGCGTGAAAGCTAAGCATTCACGCCTCCTCCGGGCGCTCCTCTTCCGTTCCCCCTAATGAAGCCTCGGGCGGCGAGTGCGTCGCCCCTGTCTCCTCTGGAAGAACTGTGGCCGTGGTGGTGGCTTCCACTTCGGGTGCCTCCATGGTGGCTTTCCGCTCTTTCTCTTCGGGTGTAACTCCAGAGATCCCTAATTGGGGGGTCCCTACCTTGGCTTCCCCCTCCTCTCGGGAATACGAGAGGGGGATGCCAACAAGGGAAGCCGGGGATGGCGCGTCCTCCGACTCCCCTACTACGGTCGTTGGGGGTGAGATCTCGCCGACCTCCACCTTCCTCACCTTTTCCATCCTTTCCGGGGGCGTAATCACCTTGTCTTCCCTCTCCGTCGCCAGCTCTACCGGTAACGCCGCAAGGGGGGCCGCTTCCAGGCCGGCCTGGTCTCCTCCATTTCCTTAGCTCCAGCGGTCCGAGAGGGGTCGGTCGGGCCCCCCTGTCGTTCGTTGGAGTAGGGGGAACGTTCGCCGCCCCCTCCTTCGTGTTGGGTCCGGGCTGCCTCTTCCCATAGGCTTCCCTCTTCCTCTTTTGCCTGCCAGTTAACGGCCTGCATGCCGGACCGCCGGCCTTGTGGCCGGCTGGTTTCCCTACTTCCGCGCACACGGGGCAGTGTGCCGTGGTCGCCCTGCATTGTTTGGCGCGGTGGCCGGGGGTACAGCAGCGATAGCAGTTATCGCTGCGGTCGACGGCGCTTTTGCACTGCTCGCACACATGGCCCTGTTCCATGCATCTGAAACAGAGCGCCGCGCGAGCAGGCAGCGCCGTCACCCCGGCTGGGGTATCCCACCAGGACCCGCCCCGCGGCGGCGACCTTTGAGGCCGCCGCCAACGGGCACCGCACCATGACCGTGGCTGTTCCTCGCTGGGTGAACTGCATCTTACCCCCGGACACGTCCGTGGATGGGCAGCCCCCAGCAAGGGCCACAGCGGCCGTCACATCCTGGGCCTCGATCGTCGTGTCTAGGCCGGTGAGCCGCAATGCTGCGGTCTTCACCGGCCTTTGGACGCTATAGCCGGGGCCCTTCTCCGCCGCCAGCTTGCCGAGTTCCTCGGCGAGCCGGTCGGTGGAGGGCCCAGCGTTGAGGCCAGGCACCTCAATGAGTAAGGTCCCAGTACAGGCCGTCCTGATTTTGAGGGCACCCGGTATGCCGACGTCTTCCGGTTTGATCCGGCGCCTGGCCTCAACCATGAATTCTTTATATGAATCCTTTGGGCAAGTGATAGTGTCGGCCGCGGATCTGGGTGTCATCGGCACCACTGCCTCCTTCCTCGGGATCTTGGCAGGCTGAGGAAGAGGGGGTTTGGGAGTTTCCCCCTTTTCTCCTCACTCCTCTGTTTTCTTTTCTCCTTTGGTCCCCTTACCAAGGTCCATCCCTCGTCCTTGGTTGGAGCTGCTGCGGATGTGGTCCGAGGTTGGCTAGCAGGTTGGACGGCGGTCTCTGCCTTCTGATGTTCGCTTTTTCCCCGGTCCTCCTTCTCCGTAACCTTCAGCGCTTGGGCGTACGTCTTCCTAGCGCGTGCAGGGGGGGAGCTAGCCCTGGTTGCACCGGTTCCTGCTCCCTCCCTTCTTCCTTCCTACCGGTAGCTTCCATTCTCCTTCTCCTTCTCCTCTCTCTCTCCATCTTTCTTTTCCTCCTCCTCTGGGCTGACGTCCCTCTGACCTTCGGCCCCCGGCCCTCAACCCCCCTCCCCCCCACGCCCGGATTGGCTCTCGCCTCTCCGGCCGAGGGGGAAGTGGGATTCGGAGTGGAGGCCCGCGCCGTCGGTCCCAGAGACGTCTTCCCAGGTCCCATTTCCATTACTACCGCTCTCTCCGTCGTCAGTCTCCTGATCGATGCGGTCACAGCCCGGTAACCTTCCCCCTTCGGGTCCAGGCCTGCCCTCGCATCCACCAGCTGTTCCAGCTCCTGCGACATTTTCTCATATGTCTTCCTGACCCCCGGGTCCATGTTACGTAGCGCCAGGGACTCGTCCAGGTCTCTTTGTACCCCCATGAGTGAGGGTCCCTTGACAGCTACCGGAGCAGTGGCCTCCTCCCGCCTGTGAAGATCCAGGTTGTCGTCATAGACGGCAGCCTTCGTAATCTCCATACTTGCCTCCACGGAGGAATTGGAGGAGGACTCCAGAATTGGTGCTCTGGTCACCCTCCTCTTTTTCTTCTCCCTCGTCTTCCGCTTCGTTGCCTCCCTAACATCCACGTCCGACGCAGAGGAGCTGCCACTTGCAGCCTCCGCGTACGTCTTCCGTCGTTGTTGTTGACTGGGCTGAGAATGGTCCGGTGCGACGACTATAGATACGATATTGCGAAAAAATATTTAAAGCTTGTACCGAAAGCATTATCAGAAACTAGATGGGAATGTCGAGTTGAAAGTGTAAAAGTTATACAGTTCCAAATTAAAGAACTTATAAAAACATTTGAAGAAATTTTTAGCGAGTCTAAAGACGCAAAAGCGAAGCATATTCTTTGTTACAAGAAATTAAATCTTATCAGTTTATATTATCAACTGTGATATGGTACAAAT